CAGGAACTGAGCCCTCACATGGAGACATGTTCTCCATTCAGAGGTGCACCAGTGCCAGATTTGCATGTTTTCAGCAGGTTAGACATTACTCCATCTTTTTAAACTAATTCCTTTATGATTCATACCACAACTTACATCAGTCTTGTGTTGCTCATAAGCTCAACCATACTTGCGTTAGCCAAGTAATGCATCAGATACACATACTCCTGAATCCATCAGAGGCCCAAGAAGATGGCTTTCTAGAAACGACTGCACGGCAGCAGTGCTCCTCACTATGCATCTTGGCCATCCAATACCCTGCTCCTGCCCACCCTGGAAGCAGCACAAGACGTTTGAGGACACCAGGTGCTGTTGGTGGCACCATGCGGGTAGGAGGCTGATGCTGCCTGTGCACAAACTCTTCACCAGACTAACTTGGCCCTGGTGACAAGCATTATTCTTGTGGGTTGCCACAGCCTCTCTCTGTCCCATCTGCAACGTGGCAATAGCTGAAGCAGTCAAGGCAGGGAACTGCTCTGATACCTATTTTGATGTCCTAGCTCTTTGCTTTCATGACCATCAAACATGCCCTGGTTTTATTTTAAGCTGACTGAATTCCCGCCCACTTTAATTTTGCAAGCTGTGGAGCAGCAGTTAGTGCCTTGATGTTGATAAGCTTTATCATAAAAGGACCAGAAGGACTGTTACTTCTTTATTACCTTCGTGTCCCTCACCTGCTTCATCCAGACTTTAGTTTTACAAACAAAGGACAAGACACGCTGGCAAACAGTGGTACTCCCTGACAGGGTGTCATGCAACACAGACAGACACACAGCTTTCTTCCCAAACTACCACAGAAAGTGGTTTGATGACTACAGTCTTCCAGAGAGAATTCAGGAAAGAACAGTGAAGATGAGGACAGGAGGAACAAACAGAAGTAGTAGCTAGGTGGAGCTTGTATAAACAAACTCCAATTTTATCTTTGGCAAAAACATGGAGAGTGTAAGCATCAAAGAGGATGAGGAACAGGCCCAAACATTACAAGGAAAAACCGGGAATTATTCTAGAAGACCTTTAGCACCTCTTTCCTTCAAGCAGTCAACAGAACTTTGCTTGCTTTCATTTGCCCAGGAAACCAGGGAATAGAACAATTTATCAGGCCCCATGCCCTCTGCAACAAAAAAAAGCAGCTCAACAATGCTGGGAGCAAGGAGGGGTGGTCAGCACAAAACCTCACCAGCTCCTCAAGTACCACTGGCCAGCTCTTCAGTCATCCCCTACCTCATTCCTGGCTCTCTAGGAAAAACGGAGATAAGGCACTTAAGGGACACGTGATCTAAGGCTTTATCTTGAATCCTGCTTCAGGCTGAAGTATTCACGATGAGGAAATAAAACCTCCAAAGCATCAGAGCTGTGGATGGCACGCAAGGACACATCTGTACAGCCAGGCTTAGGGGTCTCCAGCTCAACCTCCTGCTCCAAGCAGGACTACTGCCACCAATCACCACCAGTAAATCCAGCGAGGGAGGGAAGAAAAAGGAATTATCATAGTGAACTGCTGTACTACTCCAACCCCAAAACTGACAAAACCCACAGATGAGGTTTTGCTGCCACACTTTGCCTCCACCAATCAATTCTGTTACATCCGTTGCTGGAAGTAGGTCATGCAGCATACAGCAGGACCAGTCCCTGGAAAATGAATCCAAATTCTTAATTCAGAGATAGTGCCTGCCCTAAACGATCAAGTGCTGTAATTTGAGGGCCTCTATACTGCAATCTTCCCTAACAGATAATTAGCAAGAGCGCAGATGAGTTAAACAAAGCATGATTGTCAGGAGCCTTTGGGGCTTAGTGCAAGGCACACAGTTGGAATGAGACACTGGCTTGGGAGCTCACTTAAAACATGGGGGCTTTACATTCCAAAAACTTCCTCCATGAAACTGCAGACGGCTACAGCTGTGATAACCACACTAATTCTATTCTCTGCAGGATTCCAAGACACGTTGTCTGCCCATTCCATTAGAGCCTGCTTCCCATGAGAACTAGATAAATGGCACTTGCAACTATTGCAAGTAAACAGATCTCATTCACATTTACAGATTTATTTCAACACATCTTGACACCTGTTTGCACGAAAAAGAACCTCAAGATCCTACAGATATTAACATCAAACACAACATCTAGAGTATTTCAAAACACAATCCTGAGGGCAGGTGACTGCTTCCACAGCAAGTCAATTCTGCATATGCTGAACATCCTGAAAGCCAATTAAGAAAAATCACTAATTGTGAAAAATAAAGTAGGTAGATGTGATTGAGCCCTAAATTTTGAAATGTCTTATTCCACTAAAAAAACACCCCAAACTGCAAAAGAACAAAGAAAGAAAAACCCCACATAACAAAACACATTCTTACTCCCAGATTTTAATGGCATTATTTATGTAGGCAGGAACTTTGGGATGTATAATACTGCACTTACAATTATGCATGAAAAAGCACTTTCATGTCCCCCTCTTACATGCATCTGTTTAGGTTTTTAGGGATCATAGCAATTCCACTCTTTTTTTGTTTTTGTTTTGTGGCCATTGGGAAATGGTGAAACTATTCTTTCCTCTAAATCCTGTTACACATTTAGTAACTTGTAAAATCTTGGCTGCCTTATTCTGATACAAGTTTTAAAAGAGACACATTTCTGAGGCCAGAGTAATATATTTTCCTCTTTATCAGTAGGATGCACAGGGGTAATTTAACTTGCCTGGTAAAGTTATTCATAACAATACCTGCACGTAATTTTGGGGAACAAAAGCTTTTCAGTGAAAAACATGGATTTGAAGAAATTGAAATATGTTATAAATACATGATCCTGTTCCTACCATTTTCTTCAGATTTTATTAACACATTCAAAAGAGCTTTGTTTCAGCATAAGATTACTTAATCTCCCAAACTCTTCCACATTTGTTTTTCTCTCACACATTTATTAAAACCAAAACCTCTTAACGGCACATTTCACACTAAGGCACAGGGGATCTGCATCCCAGGAACACAAGCCTTCCATCAACACTCACATTATCACAACCCCATCCCCTTTCCCCTCTTTTCTATAATTTAAGGATGTAAAAGGATACATTACCCCGGTGACGTCCATAACCTTAATAGCAGCAAGCTGGCCTGTTTTAACATGACGACCCTGCAAAAGAAAAAGGAGAAGTTTGGTTTTGCTTGTTGGCAATGTTTTATTCACAGTGAACAATATCTTTAAACAATCTCCTGGTCCTGGCAGCATCTGCAGTTTGGGGATTTTTTTTCTTTTTCAAGAGCATCTTCACAGCAGCTATGATGGGAAAGCGATTCCCTCCTGCCATTACAATTAATTAGTAAAGGGCCTTAAATGCTGTATTTTCCTGGCAAACAAGTGCTGGAAATATCCTTTAATGCTCAGCCATGCAAAACAATAAAGCCAAAAACCTCCAAAAAAGCAAAACCACAAACAAACAAAAACAGCTCTGGGGTTCTCCTGAGCACAGAGCACGACTCGGCTGAAAGTGGTCTGCTGGATCTGTGATGATGGAAATGTGCTGTCTGGGGTACCCACATGGCACTGGCTCCAGGCCGCTTATGTGTGAGCTCCAGCTCTCGCAGACCTTGGACCCACAGGGATCCTATCCTTCAGGGCACCATTATACACTTTTCTATCCACAAATTTAGTTATTGTGCAAAAGCCTTGGTTAGCAAGCTAGAGAGGTTTGTAAATCCAGATTTACTTCTTGGCTGCGGAAGTGACTCCATCTTCAGTGCTGGCACAAGCAGGGAGCATGCATCTAGAGGAGATGCTCAAGAGCCAGCATGGAAAGAGAAGCACATACGGCCTCCTCGGTTTTCGGCACCCAAAAAATGAGGAAGTCACTGCAATGAACTGCTTGTTGCATAGTGATCAACTATTATCAATCCTAATGGAAAAATGTCTGGAAGTGATGGGGAAAACTATGAAAGAGCCCAAACTGTTGATCGGGTGTTAAAACCAACAAAACTGCTACCAAGCAAGCCAATTCCCAGACTTTTCTCCTCTCCAAAGAAACAGATCACCCAACATCATATCAAAATTGCTCGTATCAAATCACTCCCCCCCTTCCTCCATTTGTGCAGGGCACGCGCTCTGCTTACAAAGGACAGACTCAGAGGAAAAGAAGCTGATTTCTCTAGGAAAACCAGTGAACACTGATTCCAGCAGGAGAAGTGGGAGGCAAAAGGAAGCATCCCTATTTCCCAGTCACTTCTTACTATGGGAGCCCCCCAAGGCCTTATCACATGAGATACAGCATGGAGGACACAGAGGAATGGCAGTTCCTGCCCTGCAGCATTGGTAATTAATGCACTAGGGACACAATGAGGAGCAGAGGCTGACCGGGGTCAAACTGCAGCATAGCAGAAAGCGGGAAAAATATGAGCTTTTCCCTAAATTGAAGGCTCCTCAACCCCTTCAACCACTGTGCTTGTCGATGAGCTGGGGTTTGTGCCTGGTTTCCTCCCCACAGGCTGCAGATGTCTTTCACATCATCTCACCTCCAGCAAGAACCCCGAACTACCAGATACAGGGACCTCTCCCTAGCCCCTTGTGTCTCCAGGCATGGAACTGAGGAGCAAACCTATGCTATGGTTGCAGGGTAAAGCAGCATCCTCCAAATTTATGGCTTTATCAGGAAGTCAATTTACCCACCAGGGCTCCTTGCCCATTTATTCACACAATTTATATGCTCAGAGCAACCACACATTCTAACAGCAGAAAAAGAGCTTTACTTTAAAAAGTGCTACATAAAAAATAACAAAAACAAAGTGCAGCCCTGCAGTGCTTGGCTGCAGCTGACATATCGCCTGGATGAGGCCATCAGGAACGAAGGGTGCACCTCTAGGCACCAGCTATCTACACTGCGTGATCTGCAAAAACAAATCCTCAGCTTCCTAAATTCATCCTTGTTTGCTTGGTCAGGAAGCACCCACATGTCCCAACTCTTTAAAGCCAAAGCCAACAGCACAACAGCAGGGGATATGCTCAGACAGAACCACAACACACAGCATCTTCCATGGAACGGAGGAGGAAAATGGAGAAGCAAGCTGGGGCATTTCAAGCCATGTATTTGGCTAGTTATATCTGCCTTCATCTGATATTCACCACTTCATTTTGTATTTCAAGGATATGCCTTAGCCTTGCTGCGGAGTGCTGCTGCCTACCTCCGGTACCGGACAAGGAGAAAAGAAGCTCTACATGCCCACAGCGTCCTTCTCCTAGTGATGTGCCACCACCTCATACACCTCCCAGATATCTACAGAGGAAGGTAAGACCTTCATATTGTGTAAGCAGTTACCAAAACAAAACAAACTGCTTTGATAGATATGTTAATGTAAGCCGTGAGGGACACTTAGTCATGCAAAAATCTGGTGAAGTTTAACCAATAAATATTTAGCCTAGGATCTTTTAACAAAGATCCACCCTTTGTACAGATTTTCACAGCAATGCATTGTTGAGCTTCATCCTGGCAGATTTCCACCTCTGTCCAGAGAAACCAGGAATCTCCTCACCAGTTAGCTGTCCTTTTTAATTCAATGTAACTTCGTGCTCAAAACCAGTATTTGCAGTGAAATCATCATACATAGTTGAGAAAAGCCAGCTGATTTTCACCCTACCATAGACATTCCTGGTTTTGCAGAAGAAATACTGAGAAGTGAAAGTGATAGATGCAATGCAGCAATAAACCCTTTCAACAGCATCAGCCTCCAACCACCTCCTGCATGCTGGCCATGCAGAAGCATGTGCCTGTGCCCAAAGGCTGGAAGCAAGACCAGAAGCATCTGTGTCCCTGCTGTCTTTCAAAGTATCCAGCTGGACTAGGCAGTGGAGCCGTTTCTGCCCAAGCCAACCAAAGCAAGCTGAAATTGCTAATTAATGAGTGGCAAGTGCTACACTGTCCAGTGTGAATATGGCACTGCTGTTAAGGAAGCTACAAATGTGGACTGGGGTATCGAGACCAAGAAAAGTACCATAAAGCCCCTGTTGCAATGCTTTTATTTCCTGCATGTCCTCCACCCATCAAAACTTGTTGGCTTTTCCCTTTAAACTGTCAGCAGAAGCCTCCACTAGAAAACCACACAATGAGTGAGCCCAGCTCCTGCACCTGGGTTGCCTCTTTTCCCACAGCGTAGATGTGGGTCAGAACTGCAGGTGCCTTCACTGGAGTCTGGAGCTTGGGAGCTTACCCTGGAGATGCTGGAGAGGATGCAGCTGCCCCTAGGCACAGCCTTCAGGAGGATGGGACCCTTCCAGCCTCAGGCAGTCACTTTTGAGCCTTCAGGCCACACAGCCACCATCATTTTCAGTGACAAGAGAGAAGGAAGACAGAGGGGAGCAGCAATCACCGCAGCCATCCTTGCTCCCTGCACCCTCCTCACCTCCTCCTGTCTTGCCCCATCTGCCTGCAGAAAATGAGCTGATCTGCTCTTCAGCAATCTGTAACATTTTGTCTTCTTGCCTTCTTTGTCTCCTGGCATTGTTGAATCCTTCCGTTTGTGGTGGTGCGTGAGCTGCTTCCAGCTGCTTGTATATGAGAGCGAGATATGCAAGAGGACTGGCATCCTCCCAAAGCCCAACCTGCCACAAAATGCCACCATCCCACCACCAGCCCCATCCTGCCTCAGGGCTCAAACTCCTGCATGGCTTCACCCTTGCTTTGGACATAAGCATGTTCTACCCACCTCTCTCTCCGCTCAACACAATGCAGCACTTTCACCACCCCATGTTGGCTGTTCATAGTAAGCACTGCAAGGTTTGAAGGGCCACTGCCAGCATCACCTGGAGTACAGCTCCTGGAGGTCTCAAATACACAAGCATTTTCCAATATCTCCCTGCTCCTTTCCCTAAAGCAGGTTCTGGCTACGTGAACTGCTTGATCTGCTTCATCTTCATAAATTGAGCACTGTTACAGACACCATGATGGCTGCAATGGTGTAAAACAAACAGGAGGAAAACAGGGCTACTAAATCATTTTTTCCCCTCTCGAGATTTGCTGTCAAGGTTCACTTGGGTATAAACCCACATTTCAGCCTCAAGATTATGCAAGCGTGAACTTCAAAGCTGCCACAGTTTTTAATTAAGCATCCATCTGAGCATAAATTCATGCTCCTAATTACTCTCAAACTGTTAACATCAGCTATCACTAACCTGATAATTTTAAGTATTAAGACTAATTTCTGCAAATGAAGCAGACACCACAAGTCTTTTTCTTCAAAAGTTGTGGTCCTCACGCTCCATAAAGTGTAATGGACCGGCACATAATGGGAAAATTGCTAAACACTTTTAAATATCAGCTGATACATTCAGGCATTTTATTTACTCAATAAATAAACTGTGGACTCAATATCAGCCTTTGTACACAAAACCTGCATATCCTGGCCCAAAATTCAAGCCCACATTTCAAAGAAAGAAAGGTGATTGATTGTTGCTTTTTAATAGTTTGCTTGTACAAGCATGCATTTCCCTTTAAGCAAACACTGCGATTTCTGTACCCAGAAATGTATCCCACCATATTGACCTTTGCTGTCTCCTCCTATTTCAACAAAATACATGACCCACCACTTGCTGCAAATGGTGGCTCATAACCAGAATTGTCACTCTTTTGAGAAAGGAAAGCTCCCGCTTCCTTCAGCTGGGCACAGCATCATCTCCTGAACCACCCAGCCTCCAAGCTCCCATACATACATAATGCCCATAGCAGGCATTTAGAGGAGTAATCCTGTAGCATGTCTGATACTTTAAAGCAAAACACTTGTGATCCAGCCATTTTGCAATGCCCTTAGTCATGTAACATGGTAAGTGTTAAAACAAGTGGAGTGCTCTTGCAAGGCACTGCAGAAATTTCAAGACCAACAGCCTTGCTGGGACCAGACCACAGTGCTGAGAAATTTCATTGCTGAGAAATATAACCAGAGGAACAGCCCGTTTCATACAGAAACCTCTGTACACTGAGACAAATAACAAAAAGTCTCATAGAAGTCTGAATATTACCACTTTGGGCAGGACAGAAGCCTGCCAACTGATTTTATTCCATTATATTTTTGTTGCAGTTAGAATATGAAGCTGATGCCAGCAACCCAACAACTGCCCTTTTCTACTGGCTAGCTCCTGATTCTAAACTGTGACATCAGACAGCACATCCTCAACACCATCAACACACATCATCTTCCTACAACAGGAACAGCATGGAACACTGGAGATTTTGCCAGGTGAGAAGTCACCAGATCATTTTTCTATGTTAATGTATCATTTTTTATAAGTGCTCACTATGACAAATTCTTTGCCAAGCCATACTTCTGCAGATGCACCATCAAGGTATTCACTCATTAGTCTCATCTCCTCCAGACTGTTTCTGCATCCAAGACCACCTGCAGCAGAGCTCCCCTGGAATAGGCCAGAACTTCATGCAGATCCCTGGTCCAGGTCCTGTCAATTCCTTGGTTTTCTGCTGCTCAAGGCAGGTCAGGGACTCAGTCCAAGATTTTTAGCATGAAGGCACTTTATCACTAATGCACTGAAAACTGCATCCAATTTCTCCTGGGAGAAGGAACTCTGCCTTCCAACAGAGGTTGTGCATCTAAACTGCCACCCTGCAGTAAATTAGACCATTTTATAGCACCTGGTGTGATTTGTTCTCAGCTTTTACTGAATATAGGCATGTTTCTGTATTTCATTTCCACTGAAAACAATCTTCAGGGTGCAAACATCTCCCTCAGCTAGTTTAAGGGACTAAAATACTTATTGATAGGGGAAAAAAAATGGCTTAAACTAGTGTGAAAATTCAGACATCTCCAAAAGAAGCTGTTTTAGAAATTACATACTCCAGCTTTGCATTTGTGGTTTACACACCTTTTCAAACATCTGAAAAGAATCCATGTCTCTGAGAAGGTAATTAAAACATCAGATACTGTAAATATCAGGTCAGCATAAGAAAAAGTGAGTCATATAACAGGACGGGAAAAACATTTAACAGAAAGTAAAATATCTGTTTGATTAAAACAGAGCAATCATGAGCCAAACCTTATTGTTCCTGCCTATGCTTAACCCCAGCCACTAGCAGGGGGATTTCAAACCAGTGGGGACTTGTGACAATCCTGCAGACTAGGGGTCAGGTCCTCATTCTGGACAGGGACTCGGCCCCATCTCACTGCCTTTCAGCCAAACATTGCAGTAAAACCCCTGCCCTTTGCAGTGCCAGCCTGTGTTACCCTTTTGAGAGAAATGGTGTGTCCATGACAGCAGTGTGTTTCCCTCTACAGCACACATCTGCACCTCTCCATCTTTTCTTGGGTTCACAAACAGCTATGTGCGAGTTTCAGAGCAACCCCACTCCTCCAAGACACTAAAGGGCATGACTGACTTGATGCAGTTCCCTTCTACTCGGAGCAAACTCCACCTGCTTACAGAGCTACCTAAAACACCCTCTGCCCTCACAGGCTTCACCACACTCTGCAAACAACATCCTCTCATACACACAACATGCCTGAAATGCCAATGCTTTGACATCAGAAATGGAAAAATCTATGAAACAGATAAAAAGGTGTATCTAATGCTCATCATCTCATTTGCTGGCCAGGTGATGCTTCCAGAGTTGCTCCTCTGTCCTTCTGAGCTTTCCTGCAGAAAGCTGGTTGCTTGCTCAAAGCAGTGTTCTTTATCTCTGGCCAACCTGCTGCCACTTTTTGGGCTGCTTATGGAGAGCAGATTACCGAGAGGGCAAGCACAAACTTCATTCATAGCTGATCCTCCTTTACATTTATCATCTTTTTTGGCATTTTAAATTGTAAAATCCTGGAAAACATTAAGAAAAACCTCTAAGAGAAACAAAAATAATGTGGATATTTTTTTTCTCCCAGATCTCCTCAGCTGGGCAGTTTTATTAATACTTCATTTTGGATTAACAAGCAGAGCTTCCCCTCAGAAAGGCGTAAATCCTCTCCCAGCACAGACGTCTCTAATTGCACAGGGACAAGCTAATGCTCTGTGTTGACTGAACAAAGCTGACCTTTGGACTGAAGTGTTTCTAATCCTCTGTATCAATCCAAGCTCTGATCAGGGCCATGCAGCTGGAAGAGCTGCAATTCCATTACTGCAGCTCCACAACAGGTCTGACGTTAAATAAAGAAGGCAGGATTATTAGATTAACAAACTAAATTGTTAATTAGCATATTATTCCTCTCCAGAAATAACATGCACTATAGCATATAGGTGAGCAAGACTATAACCTTATATTCCCTTATATATAAAAGGGACACACATCCACTACACCAATGCTTGCATTTATGCCATTCCCTATCCCTCCTGCAGTTCAAAGGAGGCTGAAGACACCAGCCCTCCTTCAGCTCGGGAAGAACTGAGAGGTTTCCTTCTTCCATGTAGCAAACCATCAGTGTAAGAAGTCCTAGAACAGCACCAGAAATCCCAAATCCTTCAAGAAGTTTCTGTATACAGATCCTCTAGATGTTCTTTGCACCCCTTGTAATTCCCATCCAGGGAAAATCACTGGTTAGAAAGCGCTTCCTCCTCTCTATGGCACTGCCACAATTTACCACCAAAGAACTGTTGTGGATCTGCTTCACACTCACACAAAGATTTGTGCACAGGTTTTGCCCAGAAGTGTTTGAAGCTGTGGGTTTTGAAGAGCTGCACTTAACAGTCACAGGAAACCTTGTGGCACACCAGATTTCAAGACGTTTCTGCATCCAGCAGGTCTTTCCCAGGACACAGGAACCAACATCACTCTCCTAAAAGGAGGTCAAAACTCAGCAAGAGAAGGTCTAGGCTGGAAGATGAGTGGACTGAGCATAACAACATGGAGCAGACAGAGACTGAGATCAAGAACGGACAGCAAATACACTAAAAGTGAGTTAAAAAAACCCGAGGCACCAAAGGAATAAGGAGAGATGTTCCTGACAAAGAGCAATGTATAAAAAAAGAGAAGGAACAGTGCCTTAGGAAAATACTCCTGGAGCTGGTCCCACACTGAAAGCAGCAGGATTCAAAAGAGGACCAGTGGGATGGAGAAGCAAAAGGGTGCTGCTGGTTACTGCTGGACTCCTTGGAAGCTTCCCAGGCCTTCTGCAAGCTTTGCTCTTTGCTCCAGCCCACACAGGTCCAACATGGCAGGTCTGCCAAGGGGAGCAGCCCATCACCTGCAGCCTGTCAGGGCAGGGAAGCCAGCGTCTGGTCCCCAAGGGTGCTCCTTCCCCTCCTGCACAGCCCATTTGCCCTCAGCCTCCCTGTCAGTGCACATTTTTGCAGCTAAAAGAAGGCAGTACAGTCTGTTCCCAATAACATTAGTTCATGACAGCCATGTTATTACCACCCTTTAACACCCCCACTGTGCTTCTGTTTCACACCACTGCCTATTCAACACTGCAGTATTCATAACTAAAATTACATCGCTGTTTCAGAGACCCACACGGCACCCTTTCACACAGGCCACGTCTCTGATAGCAGCACCAGGTTGCCCCTTCCAGTGAAAAGCAGAGCTGTGCAGGAACAGTGCTGCCCAGTCTTCTGAAGGACTTGGCTCTTGAGCATGGCTCAAGGACACAGACTCCTCTGATGGGCCAGGATATCCCACCATCTGACACCTTTCTCCAGACCCTTTCTGTTTGACATGTGGCACTTGACCACCACAAACCTGCTCAGGTCTGGACTGCAGCAGGTAGCTTTTGCATCTGCAAGCACCAGGCAGACCCTGACTTCCTTGTTTTTGCTGTATGTAATCCAGTTTGCCCTGCAGCCAACTATTTCTGCATGGTCCCAGGGCACCTTGGCTTTATCGTGGCCACAGCTACACTGGCTTCGATGTCCAAACCCAAACTCCAGGATGAGCCTACCAGCTTCAGGGCATCAGCTCTCACCATAGGTGAAACTCGCCCTGTGTGGAGTACAGGAACAGATGTCCCAGGGCAACAGGGAGCTCTCTAAACCCTTCCCTGTAATCCCTGGGACTGCTTATGACCTCAGACTGTATGCTTCAGGTTGAGAACAAGCCACTGTGTCCAGAGCCCAGGGGTACCAGCAAGTTCTCTACCTTGCATTGTGCTTTGGCAGGGCTGCTGCTGCTTCTGTATTTGTATTAAAAATGGCCCCTGCAAAACAGATTGCTCCTAACATGCTCCCTGCTGCAGAGCAGACAGAGCTTAATCCCTGTGAGTGCTGCTGCCTCCCATGGTAATTTATCCCAGAACACCAAAGAGATGTAGGTACTCCTCAGTTTCCACCCGCTTTTGGCACCCCATTTATCTGTGCCATGCATAAACCAGGTGCATTTCAACACGCGATGCTTCACCTGCTATTTAATCCATGCCCCAAATCAGCAACTGCCTTGCAAACTGCAGCCGAGTAATAAAAACGGCCCTTGCAGAAAAAACACTGCACATGCTGATGGAAATGTTTCTTGAAACACCTCTTCAGTGCCATCTGCTTGACTCCTGCTCTAGCTTCATAGTAGCAAGATCCAATTTTGGAGGTGGTATGTAAAGTGCAAGGTGGTTGTTCAACCAACAAACAGAGAGAACCATCTCTTGCGAATCTGAGTGCTCAGCATCCTCTCTGGTAGCTGGGATGGAGAGCACTGGTGGCAGGGGACAGCCATGGAGAGCCAGGTAACACAGAGTTGACTGAGGGTTTTGATTTGTTTTGGGGTTGTTTTGTCCCTGTATAGGTAAAACTGAGTATGGAGGTAAGTCCAAAACTGTTCTCTGTGATTTCTTGACCATGTACCATATAAACCAGGAAATTTAACTCTATGGCTGTTGATGGTTTTTCATGAAGGATTTCCACTGCATTCCATTGAATTACCAATGGCATAAAACAGCTGTGTCCATGTCCAGGTGAACTACCCAACCTGACTGAGCAGCCCAGTCTGCTTTCCCAGCCCAAGTTTTTCCCATTCTGTGTCTCTCCATGTAACTGCAGGCCGTATTTGTTTCATCTCAGCTCACAGCATGGTACAGCTGTGAATGCTGCTCCATATCCCCTCCATGGCCCTATGCTTCTCTGCAGACAGGATGACCCAGGATGAGCCGCTAGGGTCCAGCACTGGATCTCTCCAAATATGGTAACCAGACACTTCAGCAGTTGTTATCAGGCCAGTTAAATGGAGCTCTCACCTTTTTTCACCTCCACCTGCCCCATGTCTCTCGGCTTGCAGAAAAGAGCCTGAACACAAACCCACCAGGTTCCTGCACCAACCCTAATGCCTCAAATCCAAGAGGAATTCAGGCTGAACTTCTGAGGTCCAGTCCTATCGCTAGCAATGGCTGAATCTGCCAGGACATTTATCCAGTTACCTTGAACCTATTTCTAAGCAAGCCGTCCTTACAACTCTTCCACTGCCTCATTCTTTGATCCTCTCCAGTCCTGCTAACAATTGGAGCCGTACTTGATTCCTGACCATGTAGCAAGACTGTCTGGCATCTGAGCTAATTCATACATTCAGGCTTCACAGTCATCAATTACAAGCAAGACTCCACGTCCCTGTCTCAGAGTGGTAGAAATAACAAGAGCAAGCTGATAAAGGTACTTACATTCATGGGGCTTAGGATGTGACTTAGGTCTTTGCATTAAGACAATAAATTTAAAAACGGTGTAAGGAACCCCAGATCTAGTGCTATTGAGAACTGAGGTGCTCCCCTAAGCCCAATGACTTTGTAACTCAAAATACTGCAGATCCCACGTTGCACGTTTCTGTGTCAGCTCAAATATCAGTTTTAGACCTCACATACTTAAAGGTAGATGGTCATCACACTCTTTTATCCAGAGCTGACTCCAGGGCTTTTGTCTGCCCTGAGCAGCCTTGACAACTTACTGTCCATCCTATCCTACTCCAAGTCACTTACTGTCAGTAGTCAATAAACGTTTTGCAGTGCCTATATTCTACTGATTTAGAGGACCTAGCCATGCCTAGAGCAATACTATGTGATACACACACTAATTCATCTGTACGGGGCTACATCAAGATTTCACATCATCTGCTGCTTTAAACAAGTCAGGCACTAGATAGCAACGTTTTAGAAACACTGGAAAACGGAGCCCAAGAAGTGACACTTACACCCTTTACCCTGATGTTTGCTTTACATATGTCATATGTGCATTCACTACTGTCTGGCATAAACGTGGGATTTCTGACTCTGCTGCTGAACAACCCCACTGTAGCTCACCTTCTAAGTCAGCCTTGCAGGTTAGGATCAACAGAGCTGATCAGCAAATAAAACCACTTTGCTTTTATATCTTCTCAACTTCCAAGCCTCCTCTCTGAAGCAGGAACTTCCCACCCTTGTACTGCCTAAACAAAGCTTCTATTAAGAAGTAAGGCAGCCAGATCACTGCCTTTTCTGACAGACCTGCAAAGTGGACCCCACCACACACAAGGACAATGTTATGCTGCCCTTTATGGCAGAGTACCCTCCTCCTGGGACACCCAGTGCTCAGCGGTCCTTATTTACCTGCAAAATAAGAGAAACTGGGGTGCAAGGGCTGCTCTGGGAAATAGGGAGCCCTAAAAGACCCTACAAAA